ATATAGATATTTGAATAAGAATAACAGATAAGAGTGTACCATGAAGAAAAAAAAAATTTATAATTTAATATGTATTGTCCTTATTAATAAATTCATATTAAGATATAAAAAAAAAAAATTAATTTATGAATTTATATTGAACATACTGAAATATATTTTGGGTTCAAATAAAATCCCCAACTAATCCGAATGCAAAACCAGGAATTAGTCCTTCCCTTACAAAAGCAAGAACCAAAACATAAATCATCATCAGCCCAATTTGGTGTAACCTATTGACTGCCCTTTATTATTATTTTTTTTGAAAATTTATGTCGGTGTGCAATTTCTGTTATGTAGAAAAAATAAATTAAAGAACTGATTATTTATTTATTTATTTATTTTAGAGGGTGGAAAAGAGCTGATTAATGAAGGGAACTTTTAATTTTTATTTTCTGATTATAAAATTTATATTTGATAAAATTATAAACTTTAAATTTGAGATAAACATAAACCCATAAAATCCCATTTGTTGAAAATTGAGAAAAACATATGAAAATCCCATTTCTATTACAAAATCCCATTTGTTGAAAATCCCATAAATGTCTATTGTTAAGGATATTATATTTAATTTTTTTTGAAATAATATTTTATATAATACTAATAATATTATTTGATAGATTCTTGTCGAATAAGACCCCATAAAAAAATCTAATTCTTAACCATTTAGGAAAACTATTAAAATGTTATAAATTCTTTCTCATTCTTAAAAAATGTTGCCTTTGTATCAAGAAAATTTAAAAAGTTAAAATCCATGAGAATAATAATAATAAAAAAAGTAAATTTCGAATCAATAAAAGGAATGAGACAATAATTATAAATTCTTTAATATATATATTGCAATTCTCCACCCAAAAAAAAAAAAGCTTCATTCTAAAAGAATATACTCAGAAAAGAAATAATCCATTCGATCCAAAATAATAATTCATTTTGGATAATTTAACTTTTTTTTAGGGGATTTTTTTTAAGGTCTCTAGTATTAAGATTTTATAGCATAAAAGACATTCAATATTTTAATAATGTCTAAGGTCCCTTAAGTTGATTCAGAGAAAATTCACGTCACAGAGAAAATTGGTCCAAAGAAATTCTGGGAAGAATTTCTCTAGACTTTCCAGAAAAATTTTGAAAATTTCTCTGACTTTCCCTAAACTTTCCACTGTAAATTTCTCAGCCCTTTCTTTCTCCAAATTTCTCTGCCTTCCATATACTTCCCACTCTCCCAACGAAATTTCTCTACCTTTCACAAAATTACATCTCCAGAGAAATTTTAAATTTCTCTGCCCTTCGTGCCTCTCCTGGACTCAACACTTCAGAGAAATTTGAAAATTTCTCTGACTTCATCGGCCTTCAATTAGTCAAAATGAATACAGAGAAATTTGACAATTTCAAATCTTTATAGATTCTGACAATTTGAGGCATATGTGAATTTTTTTAGTGGATCAGCACAAATAAAACTGAAGAAGAGAGAAAACAAGAGATATTATCAGCAAAGCAAAGATAGAACACAATTACATGATGAATTTTTTTTATTTTTTATTTTTGAATGGAACTTGTCTCTTCACCAGAGATTCATTTGATCGCATATCAACCACTTCTTATGCACAAAGTTTGTGCCATTTAGTAGTCGTACGTGTCTGGATCTTTCAAGTATTTGTTGTAAAGCCACTTGGATGTGTCGAGAGCATCTCCATTGCTTTGCACCGGATACAAATTCCTACTGCTTTGCCAATCATTTGTAAGCTTAATCCATTCATTCCTCCAATCTTTCATGCGAAAATCGTCACCCTTTTCGAACTCTCTGTCAGAAATTTGAAATATATGGCTGCTCTGGGGGCCATAGTAATCTCATAGAAGCCCACTCCAGTACTTGTTTTCTACAAGAGGAGAAACAAATATATCAATGTGCATCATATGAGCATTTTCCTAATGATAAAAACAACTTAATTAAGTCTGGTAAAAACAAATTTTCACACGTGCCTCAAATTTTCTAAAAATCTCAAATTGTCAAAATGAACTCAGAGAAATTTGAATTTTCTCTGGGTTTGAGTGAAGAATCTATAAAGATTTGAAATTTGAAATAAAAAAGTGAAACAATTGTATGGGAATTTGAAATGTAAATGTTGTGACTTCCCAGATAGTCAACTGATAAATTCCCAAAGAAAATTACAAAAACTCAGAGAAATTCACTGATAAATTCTCAAAGAAAATCACAAAAACCTAGAGAAATTCAAAAAATACTCAAAAAATGAACAAATTTAAGAAATATGTTCAGTAGATCCTCATGTTCTACGTCTTCATGTACTCCACTAACAAAAATGAACCCGCCCTCACTTGCTGCAGGAATTAAAACAATTAGTGGAAATCAAATTTCTTCAAATTGGTACAAAAGCATTAAGAGAATAAAATCTATTCATGATTATGTACAGTTATGAACTCACGAAAGACTAAACTTTGAATTATATAAAAGTAGCATGTCATAACAAACACTTTTATGAGATTTTCAGAATTATTTGTTTATTTATTTTGATCAGCGAGATTTTCAGAATCATATGAATAAAAAAATTACAAGAAGGGAAAAAGATCAAAGCAATGCTTAATGTATGTCATTTTAGATTCACTAACTGAAGTAGTGTTCATGGAAAATTTGAAAAGTTTTTTGAATTTTAGTTTCTGTTAGTTTTCCTACACTTTCTCAACAATCAAACAGATTTCATTGACTTTTTTTGAGCAATCTTTTCCAAGTTCACCAAAATACTTTAACAGCACAACTACTTGCTCCTCCTCCTCCAGTTTCCTCTGCTGTCGTAGCTCCTCCACCGATGATTTCTGTACCACCACTTCTTTCCCAAGCCCTAATAGCTTCCTCTTTAATGAATCGCCCAATTTACTAGTGTTGCTTCCATTGTTGTGATTATTGGTTTTCTTTGATTTCTTGTGCTCTGTTTTTCAGACCCAAAATTGCTCCTCCTGTTACTAGGAAATATGAAGTAATTGATCAATATGTTACTGTAGTAGATAAAGAGGAAGTGAAAAAGAAGATGCGGGTTTCCTTACCTGATGATTATACTGAGAAGCTCTGTGCTTAAAGAAATGGCACTGAGGAGTAAGATATAGAGATTCCTGGAGTTAAGGATTATAAACCTAGAAAACAGCTTGGGGAGAGAGCTTTACAGCAATGGCGAACCTTAGTGACACCGAGCTTTCTTTTTGGTGCTCTCGATCCATTGCGACTTCATTCTTCTGTCCTCGATTCGTCGGAGTCAGCAACATGATGATCATGAGATCGAGATCGATGAGTTGATTTGAGAGAGTCAAATTTCTCTGTAATACATAGGTGTGGGGTTGAGGGACCTTAAACATTATAAAATAATATTATGGATCTCTTTCATTACTAAAAATAAGAGAGGGACCTTAGACTAATTTTTTTTTATAGTACAATTATTACATTTTAAAAATATTAATTTTTTAAAATTACCTTTTAATAATATTTTTTAAAAAATATTAATTGTCATAATTATACTTTTTGTGTTATTAAGGAATTTAAAAGAATAACAAAATAATAAATTTATATTCTTTATTTCTTAATTTTTTTTAAAAAACTAATATTTTAAAATACAGTGGTACTACATGTATTAATTAATGTATAGAAATTCACTCTAAAATAATAAAAAATAGAATAAGTACATTAATTCGCTTTCGTGAAGCAGGCCCTAAGGCCAAGTTTGACATATTATAAAAAAGTCAAAAAATTACTCAAAAAAGTTACTCAAAAGGTTAATCAGCATGCTTGGTTAGAGTTTTCCAAAAACTCTTTTCAGAAAATTCTACTTTCTTATTTTTCATGTTTTTTTTTGTTTTTACTGAATTTTTTAATATTTTAACCAATTTTTTTTTTTACTTTTTAGACATACCTAACATAAATATACCTAAAAAGTAAAAAATTTGTGAAAGAAACCTTTTAAAAATTCACTAAATATCAAAAATATAAAAAAAAATGCGAAAATTCAGTACATTTTTTGGATTTTTATATATTTATTAATTTTTAAAAATATTTTTTCGTAAACTTTTTACTTTTTAGATACATCTAAATAAGGTGCATCTAAAAAAGTAAAAAAAATGTTTAAAATTTTAAAAATATTCATTAAAAACAAAAAAATACGAAAATCAAAAAACTTAATTTTCAAAAAATTTAATTCAAAAAACTCAAACCAAACACACTGAATACTATTCACTAAAAGTCAACAATTACGACTGAACAACTCTCAATCTTAATTTTTCTCTATAAATCAATTTTTATAATTTTTTATTACATATTTTTATCACAAAAAGTTAACCCAAACATCCATATTTTCTTCCTCAATTTTTTAATTTAAAAAGACAAAAAATACACTTATTTAGGACATCTCAAACAATTCCTAAATCAATCTTTCCAACCTTTTAAGTCATTGATGACCTAACCCAATATGTTTTGGGTAAATATCAACTCAGCGAGACAGTGATAAAAATATCAAATTTATAGAGAATATTTTTTGTGCAAATGCGAGAATTCAGTACATTTTTTGGATTTTTATATATTTATTAATTTTTAAAAATATTTTTTCACAAACTTTTTACTTTTTAGATACATCTAAATAAGGTGCATCTAAAAAAGTAAAAAAAATGTTTAAAATTTTAAAAATATTCATTAAAAACAAAAAAATACGAAAATCAAAAAACTTAATTTTCAAAAAACTTAATTCAAAAAACTCAAACCAAACACACTGAATACTATTCACTAAAAGTCAATAATTACGAATGAACAACTCTCAATCTTAATTTTTCCCTATAAATCAATTTTTACAATTTTTTTATAAAAAGTCAAAAAATTAATCCAAATATTTATATTTTCTTCCTTAATTTTTTAATAAAAAAACAAAAAAAACACTTATTTAGCCACCCAACCAACACTTTACAAATATTATACGCAGAAATGGAAGAACACTCTCTCACTCATCATCATCATCACTCATCACACTCCTCACTCTTAACCCTTCCCAATCTCCAACTCCAACTTTCCTCTTCTCCCAATCCAGCTAATCTCCACTTCTCAACTCCAATTTAGGGTTTCATATACATATACATATATATATATATATATGTAGATGCGAGTGAGTGATCTGCGAAGCGGAGGATGAACGTGAGCAGGCCGGCGGTTCATCCGCTGGAGGCGCCGCCGCTGAGGGACGGTGCGGAGAATGCGCCGAGGGTGAGGATGAAGGACTTGCAAGGCATGCCTGGTACCCCCGGTGGCCTCGCTCTTCGTCTCTGTCAGTTCTTCTTCGCTCTTATCTCTCTCTGCGTCATGCTCTCCACCTCCGATTTCCCTACTGTCACTGCTTTCTGGTATTAATCAGCATTTCTCTTTCACAATTATGATATTGATGGCGAATTTCTAGAGTTTAATTACTTGAAGATGAGGCAAATGTTCAATTTAGAGGAAATTCCTCTAAAATTTTGTGAAACCAGTGTTTTTTAAGGTGAGAAGCGAACCGAGGCAACAAGGTCTCCTAACGCCTAAGCACGAGGCGACGAGGCGAGGCGAGGCGAGGGCTTCATCGAATCGAGGCGACCACAAACGATATTTTTTAAAAATAAATAGGATAGACAAAAATATAAATATTTTCAAGAACATCATACATTTATCATTCCAAATACTAAATATCCATAACCAACAGAAAATATCCAACAAAGACAAATACAATCCAACAATCTAAAGGTTCTAAAAATCATCTTCAACATTAAGCAAATAAACTTCTTCTTCATTATCATTGGCTTCATCATATCCCTCCGCATCTTCTTCCTCTCCCCCATTTGAAATTGACTCTTCCTCGTCAATAAGTTGTAATCTAGGTCTAGTTGTTGATTTTGAAGTTGAACGGCCCCTTTCTATTGCCCTTGATGATCTAGTTCTTTGGCTACTTTTCTCAACCACAGCAGCTCTAGCAACATCATCCCATGTCAAAGTATCATCCTCAAAGACAAGCTCCTCCTCTATCCTCCCAACCAACCACTCATTACTTTCATCAATATCTGTCAAAGTGATGGGATTAATAGTGTCACGAGAATTGTATCGACATCTCAATGCTCTATTATACTTGACAAATATCAAATCATTCAGACGTTTTTGAGCTAACCTATTTCTCTTTTTGGTGTGAATCTTCAAAAATTCAAACCAAATAAAAATATTCAAATTTTTATCTAGGTATTAATAAATTTATAAGTATTCATATTCACTACATTTAAAAATAGGTACTCACATGTTCAAACACACTCCAATTCCGCTCACATCTAGATGAATTACAAGATAGATTAAGAATTTTGATGGCAAATGTTTGCAAATGTGGTGTTTCAGAACCATATGCACTCCACCAATCAGCTGTTGATTATAACTAATTAATTAGAAAGAATATTTAAAATATAAAAAACTAACTAAAATTACTGAAGTATAAAATATAGATCACATGGTGCCCTTGTAGTTCTTTGTCTAATGGCCAAAGCCATCCCAAAGAGCCCTTCAACTTTCTTATAGGTAGTCTCCTCCGCGCAAACTTTATCTTGTGTCTCACTGTTTGAGAGCAACCTTTGTATGCATTTATACAGGCCTGACATGACTTCCTTATCTTTCTCAATATTCGGATTTGCGTAAAAATACTCTGGGTTTAAATAATGCCCAGTTGCATGCAAAGACCTATGCAATTGAACATTCCATCTATTGTCAATTATTTCAAAAAACTCTTTGTCCTTCTGTTCATTTCCATTAAATGATTTTGCCTTGGCTTCTTTAGCCCTCTCCATTGCCTCATAAATATATCCCATGGGAGGCTTTCTCTCACCATCAACAAATCGCAGCACACGAACAAGAGGACTTGATATTTTGAGAGCATAAAGAACAATGTTCCAAAAAGAAGACATTAATATGACTTGTGCTGTCTTTTTACCCTATGGTTCCTTCGCCCATTTACTTGTGGTTCATTCCTCTGAAGTGAACATCTTTTTCAAGTTAGTTTGTTGTTGATTCATCCTTGACAAAGTTACAAAAACAGTTGCAAATCGAGTTTTTACTGGCTTGATCAAATCCTTACACTGGGTAAATTGCCACATCATATTCAACAAACCAGAGCAGTTCACAATATAACCATGCACCGTAATTGCCTTTTGAAATGTTTTGTTGAAGTTGGGAATTTTGAAAATGTCCTCTAGCATCAAGTCCAAGCAATGAGCTGCACATGGTGTCTAATACAAATGTGGTCGCTTTGCCTCCAAAAACTTCCCTATTACAAGTTTAAAAAAAAGAACGAGTTTTTAATATGAGAATTGCATATTCATATTGTAAATAAGTACTAAGTAAATGTATACTACTAAGTTACTAACCGGCCAACACATTTGCTGATGCACTATCTGTAACAACTTGAACCACGTTTGCTTCACCAATACGCTCCACAAAGTTGTCAAACAATTCAAATATCTTATTTGCATCATTGGATAAGCTAGAAGCATCAACGGATTCAATAAACATTGATCCTCTTGGACAATTAACCAAAAAATTAATTAATGGCCTGTTTCTTTTGTCCTTCCACCCATCGGCCATTAAAGAGCATCCATATGTTACCAAATCTTTTTTATGATCCTCCATGGTCTTATTAGTGTGGTCTATTCCTTTCTGCAAATAAGGAACATGCACCTCATGGTAGCTTGGTGGTTTCATGCCAGGACCATATTGTCCAAAAGCTTCAACCATTGGCCCAAAACTATTGTAGTTCACAACATTGAAAGGCATACCCGTATCATACATCCACCTCGAAAACCAAACAAGAGCCCGATCTCTCAACACCTTCTTGCTAGGATCATTATCATCAATTCTTCTTTGCTTCCCCTTGGCTTTACAATTTTGCACCGCAACTTCCGAATCAAGGGTGAAGTACACATCCATGGGTCCTTTTTGTTTTTGTTGTTTGGAAGCAACAGATTTGGAGGAGCTACTTTCTTGTTCTCGATGGGTCGAACCTTGAGTAGGAACAGGCCTTTTACCATGTTGATTTATTTCAAGAATTTCATCATCATCATTATCCACCTCATCAAAATTAGGAACCATCCCCAATTGCACCTTTGATTGACTTTTTTTGAGACATATAGGGTGTGTTTTGTTTGTATTTGTAGAGTAGTTTTTGAGATAAAAAGTACGAAAACTTGTTTGGTTTGTCTTTTTTCAGAAATAGTTTTGAAAAATTATATAGGAGAGAGAGTTTTAAAAAAAGTGATTGATTTGATATGTATGAGAGAAAGAGTGATTTTGGAAAGTAGGTAACCAAACAGAATTTTGAGGTTTTTTTTGAAAAAATTTGTTTGGTTTGATTACTGTTAAAAATTTATTTGTAGAGAATTTTTCCCAAAATTTTTTTCGAAAAACAAACCAAACTTAGCCATAGTCTTTAATCTCATCTTTGACATGAGATGGACAATTTTTTACAAGCATCAACATTTTTATAACCACCAGCAAGATGTTACTTGACTTGGCAAACACCACCATTCATTTCTTTGTCACAAAAGTTGCAAATAAACTTTGAAAGGTTTTAGGGATTTACCATCCGTGCATATTGCCATGCCGGATCTTTTTTACTTTCACTCAACTTTGACATCTAATTCTAACCAACCAAGCAATTCAATGTTAAGAAACGAAGAAACAATTAAAGTGCAAAGAAATAAACAGTTTCAGTATAAAGAAATTAAAGAACAATATATTTTTAGCAGCAAAATAATTAAAAAAAATTTCAGCAAAATTAATTGAAATTTTTTCAGCAAAATAATTATACAATTAACACAACAAAATAATTGTAAAATAACACAGCAAAATAAATAAGAAGAGAAACAAAAACAAGAACCAGGGAAGGAAAAAAAAAAGGGAAAAAAAAAAGGGAAAAAAAAAGGGGTCTGCTAACAAAAACAGAGTTCTTCAAAGCAGAGTTCTTCAAGACGGGAAAAAAAAAATATGAAGAAAGGAAGAAGAAAAGAAGAGGTTTCTCGGAAAAAAAAGAAAGAAAAAGAGTTTGAAGAAGAAGAAAAGAAGACGAAAGAAAGAAGAAGCAGTAGGAGAAGACGAAGAGAAGAAAGGAAGAAGAAGAAGCAGGTACTCACCTCCTCTTTCGACTGGAACGATGTCGGAAGAAAGGAAGAAGAAGAACAGATAATCGGGGGTTCTTCGAAGCGATTGTCGACTGGAACGATGTCGACTTAGGGTTTTGACTTCTTATTTAGTAGAAAGCAATTATAAAGTGCAATGCATGTCCACAAATAGCACAAAAGTCATTCAAATGAAGGGCCTAGATATTTCAAACTGAAATCAAACAAAAACTGGTGAAGCGTTGCTTTGAATCGCCTCTCGCTTCGTCGCTTAAGCCTTGCTTCATGCGCTTCAACTTCGCTTCACCATTTCGCCTCGCCTCAGTGGGTATGAAGCGCTACAGAGTTGCCTCGCCTCGCTTAGTGCTTAGGCAAGCGCTTAGTCACGCCTCTGATAACACTGTGTGAAACTATATTGAAATTTCCATATTCATACTGGGAATCACAAAATTGGAATTGGGTTACAAGAAAAATTATAGCTTTGTGTTTGCATTGTTAACAATTAAGAGAATGTTTTCAAGACTGTAATCATCCTGGTAAATTGCTCATTGTTCCTCCTATATTTTGTAATGCTTAGTTAAAAAAAAAAAAAAAATTTGATTGCATGTCTGTATCATATTTTTAAACTATTGCAATAGATTAGAAGCTTTTCTTACAAATCACGTGCCTAAAATAAAATATAACCCATCAATTGTGAATGTAGTGAGTGATGGAAGTTAGTTATTAAGTGAATTTTTAACCTCAAGAGAGAGAATATACTTTATCTTCTATTGTTTACAAACAAGGAAAATTTAACCTTCGGCAATGGTGCATCTGTTGGTTGTACAATTGATAGTGCTCACAGCTTTTCTTATAAGGTTATGTATAAAAATTGTACCTCTTGTAGACATGGGTATAGGACAAGCATCAAGTTGTAGAATGGGCCATGTAGAAATTAATACAAATGTTCTTATCAAGCAATATGATAATCTTAATAAACTATAGATAAATGTCATTTTGCCAGGACACTGCTTGGTATTTTTCAATGTCATCTTAAACAAACAAGGAAAATGTAACCTTCGGCAATGGTGCATCTGTTGGTTGTACAATTGATAGTGCTCACAGCTTTTCTTATAAGGTTATGTACAAAAATTGTACCTCTTGTAGACATGGGTATAGGACAAGCATCAAGTTGTAGAATGGGCCATGTAGAAATTAATACAAATGTTCTTATCAAGCAATATGATAATCTTAATAAACTATAGATAAATGTCATTTTGCCAGGACACTGCTTGGTATTTTTCAATGTCATCTTAAAATGCAAAGCTGCCTTTCAATTTATTTTACTTAATGTTTAAGAAAACATGTATTCCATGTTGAAATTTACTTAATATACTACTCAACTCCACAAGCCTTTGTCTCAATTACTTAGGGTTTACTCTCCACGTGGATCAAATAACTGTTCCTCACAACGGCGCACTAATTGACTTTACAATATACAGCACTATACAATCTCAAACAACTTTCCCTCAATAATTTTATTTTTTTTATTTATTTTTTGTAACACCACTTATTCATCTCAAACATTCTCATTTCAGCTACATTCAGTTTTTGAACATGTTTTTTTAACCACCCAACATTCGGTATCATACATCGTAGCAAGTCTTATAACCTATGAAGTATGGACACTCCAAAATTGGTGCTGTGGCGGTGTTCGACATGCGGACACGCTGGGGACATAGCTTATAACAATCCTTCTAGAACTTGGTCCTTCAACTTCTCTCAATAGGAATTTTGGTCCTACAAATCTTATAGCAACCCAAACTTCAATAGGAATTTCATTTGGTCCTACAACTTTTCTCACTTGCATCTTCTTCATAGCGTCCATTACCTCTGCTACTCTGAACTTACGAAAAAATTATAATTATAATTAATACTAGTAGAGTTATATAAGGTTCTGACCTTGCTAGGCTGAGAGATTCATATAACCGTATTGAAAGCCAATCTTTTGCTATTGCATAGCGAAGCTACTCACCCCATGAAAAAGCTAATCGTGAGTCGGTGTCGATTATCAATTAAATATCATTTAACCTATTCTTTCACTCACAAAGGCCAAATGTCATTTCTGGCTTTTATGTGCTGAACCATTTTGTTTGCAATGCTTGACAAGGTGATGTGGAACAGAGTTTATTTTCAATTTGCAGTGCTCCTAATTCTTCACTTTTTGTTTCCAAATGACACACTGCTTTCACGCTTCTTAATGCATTATTGTCTGAGCAAGAAAAATATCAACAAAGCTTCTTGTTCTTGTTGCACTAGCTACCTTGTTGCTGCTTTAGGCTTGCAAAGTTTGTGGAGCTTTTCGCTGGCTGCAGTTGATATATATGCCCTTTTAGTGAGAAGACATTTGCGGAATCCCAGAGTAGTCAGTTTTTTCACCATTGGTGATGGGGTAAGTGAATATGTATTATGGTTCGGCACAACTGCTTGGTCTATCAGACTTCAGAATTTTCATTTATTGGTTCCCATGTGAAAACTGCTTACACCATAGGAGACTTGGTGCCAGTACATTTGTGACCTAACCCATAACTATTTATATGACTGCCTACCTGTGAATGTAAAGGATTTTCTTTTTGTTAGACTCTGTAGCCTGGAAGCTCTATCATGTGGTCTCTGATGTAGTGGGAACTTTGCTGTAGAGGTTCTCTGATGGATTATGAATTTGTTTTTTGATTTCTTGCCATGCATGTGATTGCCTGTCATTTGATTGTTGCTGCATTGATAAGATGCAGTACTAAATCGGTGATTAATTTATTTTAGTAACTCGGGACTTAGTGTGTCAGTGATACATGTGAATTCATTTGATTAAGGTTTGATTGGGCTACATGAGTAGTTGGACTAAGATTGCTCACCATCTAATTTTCTTATAATGTTAGTCTAAGAAGCACGGACACCTCTGCAGAGGAAGCATGTCATGTCGGACACCGATATTCTTCAGACACTCCTAAAAGCTTGTTGGACACTTCTTCAACGTGTCTTAATTAAAAAATCAATTTCCTAAATCAGGCACTTTACTGACATTTCATGGACACTTCCGCGACACTTTTTAAATCCTCCAAACAAGTCCTATATGATAAATCCCTTAATAATACAATATTCTGCATTTTTCATAGCACAACTTATTCACTCTAAATATGTTTTGAAACATTTATAAGATGAATATATTATGTGTATTACTGTGTTTTATAATTGTTTTGGATTCTTTATAATGTAATTGTTGCATGAATGATAACTTGATAATTAAGTTGTAAAATATATAGTTTTTAATGTAATAATGTTATGTTAAATATTTTTCATTATCTTTAAATAAAATTTTCATATATATGACAAATAATAAATTTGTACGTATAAAATTTTAACGTGTCTCAATCGTGTTGTTTTTTGCATTTTTTAAAAATTGATACATTGGCATTGTCCATATCATGTCGTTTGTTTGTGCCACTTAGATGTCAGTTGATTACTATTGAGTTGCCATTACCTTGTTAAATGAATGGTTGAACTTGGCGGTTTTGATTGTTGTTCAATTTGTGTGGGTATATAGCATTAAAAGCCCATTAGGTAAAGTTATGTTCAAATTCCCTTGCTTGGGAATAGAAAGTGATATTATCCGGAGATAAGGTATAAGCGTCATATTTTTTCTATTTGGTATTGATAAAATACAACAGTTATGCACAACACATCGCTATCAGTTTGGCCAGAAGGGGTTGCTTTATTTATTTCAAAATATGTTGCTCTGTTGCAGATTACGTCGACTCTTACATTCGCTGCTGCTTGTGCATCTGCTGGTATCACAGTCCTTATTGGCAATGATCTTGACAAATGCGCTGTGAATCACTGTGCAAGATTCGAGTCAGCTACTGCTATGGCTTTTATCTGCTGGTTTGTTGCATCTCCCTCGTTTCTTTTGAACTATTGGTCATTGGCGGTATCAGCCAATTACTGACTTTGTTACTGTCACTTCTAGCTGTTCTGTTCTATAAATCATCAACAAAGATGACTCGATTGCTTCACTGTATGTATAGATAAATTTTGCTTAAAAGATTGAGGCACAAGCCATTTGGAATACAATAGTTGTCAGATATCTTTCGAATTTTGAGTTTTGATTGCTTCGCTGAGTTTTTTCTGTTAAATTCTCAGCTGAGTTGTATGTTTATGACTAGAGAGTTGAAGTTAATTGTTTTGTATGCAACCATGAATTGTATGTTTTATGGCTTTTGTTATTTTCCTTTTGCTTTTTCTTTTTTTCTTTTCTTGTTTTCTTATATGTGCTGATAGTAATCGATCCATAAATTGCCATTTTGCAAAGTAGCTAGTATCGATTAGTCTACGCTGCTGTGTAAAGAAAATGTTAAAGATCATTTTATAATGATTGGTCAATAATGAAACTATATTAAAGTTAATAGAGTATTTTTGTAATAGTACATATAATCTGGTCGAGATTATACTTCATTATACTTCTCCACTCTCTCCCAAACCCATTCAGATTTTTCATTTCCACCCTAAACTTGTTCCATTAAAGATGGGAACCCACTGGGTTTGGGTTTTTTTGGCCATTATATTGTAGATATGTTTAGTAAATGGTTACACATTTGTTATCTTTTGGATTATAAATAAAAAGAAAGATTGATTACTAAGGTGGCGTTTGGTAATACTTACGTTTTCAGTTTTTAATTTTCAGTTTATATTTACAAAATTTTAAAAAATTATCATAAAAACTTATTTGGTAAATATTTTGGTTTATAAACCAGTGGTCTCAATTTATAAATTTGGCCAAAATTTGTAAACTCAAAAAATGAGTTTACATTTTTAGTTTTCAGTTTTTTTTTTTTTTGACCACCCACCACTCGCCACCACTTCCCACTATTTTCTACCACCGTCTTCCGCCACCGTCTTCTGCCGCCACCACCCACCCCCCACCACCACCTGCCACCACCACTTACCACCCACCTGCCACCACCACTCGCCATCCACCTGCCACCCACTCGCTACCACCACCCACCCCTCGCCGCCACCACCACCACCATCACCCACCATCCACCTGCCATCCACCCGTCACCACTCGCCACTACCCGCCACCATCACCCACCTGCCACCACCTCCACCCACCTGCCACCACCACCCCCTCGCTACCACCTACCACCCACCCACCCATCCACTACCACCATCACCCGCCACCTACTTGCCACCACCACTCACCACCCACCTGCCACTGTCTTCCGCTGCCATCACCTGCTACCACTTTCCACCAATGTCTTCCGCCACCACCACCTGCCACCACTTTCCACCACTGTCTTCCGCTGCCATCACCTGCTACCACTTTCCACCAATGTCTTCCGCCACCACCACCTGCCACCACTTTCCACCACTGTCTTCCGCTGCCATCACCTGCTACCACTTTCCACCAATGTCTTCCGCCACCACCACCTGCCACCACTTTCCACCACTGTCTTCCGCTGCCATCACCTGCTACCACTTTCCACCAATGTCTTCCGCCACCACCACCTGACACCACTTTCCACCACTGTCTTCTGCCACCACCCTCCATCACTGTTTTTTGCCGCCACCACCCACTACCTGCCGCTATTACCTATCACCCGTCACCCCTCACCTGCCATCATCGTCTTCCGTCACCACCACTCGCCACCACCCACCACTACCGTCTTCCGTCGCCACCACCCCGTCACCACCGTCTTCCGTTGCCACCATCTGCCACCACTCGTCACCACCCACCACCCGCCACGCCACCACTCGCCATTTCTCACTCTTTTAGTTTATATTTTTTAAAATTTTCAAACATTTTGTCCAAACCAAACGCGTTTGTAGTTTATGTTTTTTTAAAAATAAACAAAAATCAATTTATAAAATTTTTGTAAATATAAATTAAAAACATAAGTATTACCAAACAGGCCCTAAAATGCTAATAACCTTTGACAAGGAGTAATAAATTCTGAGTAATGTTGACCATAATTAGAATGACTTTATTAATGAGGAAATAATGGGCTTACTTTCCCTTGCTAATAAAGTGGTAAGACAAGGCACAATTCGCTGAAGAAAACAGACTTCTGGAAAGTTGTTAATACACTCTTTACCATACCATGATAGTTAAACACACTCTCTTTCACATGTACTCACGAGTATGTTATTAATATCAACTCTTTTCCTTACATGTGATAGTTAAACACACTCTTTTTCTCACATGTAATCACAAGTATAATCATACTCTCTGCCAATGTATGATCAAAGAAAAAAAAGAGAAAGGTGACCTTAGCTTCTTATACATTTCAAATTTTCAAGTTACGTGTGTATCGAAAGTAAATTTAAAGAGTTGATGAATTTTGCTATCTAGGATGTTGTTTGCAGTAGTTTAAATGGGTTATTTACAATTTTTTGTTTATTTAAAATATTATGTAAGACTACCTGTTATTACTTAAGCGCTAAAAATATGTTAAATAAATTGACAAAATGATACTTTTAGATTCAATTTTTAAAAGATCACATACGCTAAATGTTTTCTCGTCACAAGAATTACGTTTTAGCCTAATATGAAAAGAAGCATCATTATCTTTTTACCATAACAGTCTTTTTCTTCTTTGTCTTTTTCTTCCTTCATTTTTTTCCTTTCTAGTTGGTCTCATAATGTTTAACGATCTTACATTGTTTTTTTATTAGCTAATCATTAAATTACCAAAAAAAGAAAGAAAATCGGAGTGAAAAGGGTTGGTTTTTGGTAACGGTCATGTGTTGAAAGTCAAGGTGGCCCTCTTAAACACAATTTATATGCAACCATTTTCTTAAAGCAAAACCATCTTTTCTCATACTCTGCTTTTATGCATATAACTACCCCAACCCAACTTCTTCTTATATATATATATATATTAGTCTCTTTCTATATTCTTGAACATTTTAATGAGAGAGAGAGAGAGGGGGGATTGACAATGTCCAATGAAGATGATGATCAAAGGCAATATCGATATGTAAGGAAGTATTACAAATTGGTAAAACAGGTAATTTGTTGCCCCAATTTATAAACCACCTCAATATTGTTATGGTCATCAAAATTTTCGCTTATTTATCAGAGAGAAATATTCAAAACTTAAATGTGAATTCTAATTTGTAGATGTGAATATTTTCTCTTACATCAATTATTTCATTATGCGAAAATTTTGGTATTTATGTAAGTTTTCAAATAACACAATACTTGAATTCTCTCTCTCTCTCTCTCTCTCTCTCTCTCTATGAATCTATTTAAAAAAGTATGAATCTTTTCAAATTATGAATCTATTGAAAAGTATTACATTAATTTATTTAAAAAAAAAAAAATTGGACTTATGCAATGATGCAACTTATTAAGACTTCGTTTGAAATGTGAGTTGATTTTTTTATTTTTTGATTTTTTAATTATTTTAGTTTGAGACTAAGCCTGTGTTTGGCAAGTAGGTTTGCAGGCTTTTTTGGCTATTTTAGCCACAAAAAACAAAATAGGCTATTTTAGCCATAACAAACAAAACATCACATCCAACCCATAATCATTACATTCTTCTCTCACAAAAAAACTCAAAAAAGCCAAAAAGCCAAAAAGCCCTTCCCAAACCAAGCTTTTAAGCCCAGGCTAAAATAGCCAAAAAAGCCAAAAAGCCAAAAAGCCAACCCACTTCCCAAACGGAGGCAGTATACATTTAAAATTGATGTATGGATCACACCTAAAATGAATCTAATTCGCACATTCAAATTTTAGTAATTTTTTTAAAGTTTATATATATATCATCTAACTTGAATCTGATCACACCCAACTTGATGCGTTTTTCAATTTATTAAGCTTTTTTTTAATAAAAAACCAGAGGTAGAAAGCATATGTCCTTTCATATTCCCAATAACTAGTTTTTCAGTTCATTTAAGTTATTTTTGTTACTGCTCACAGAAATTATACCAAACACTTTGACACAAACTCTTAAAATAAAAAATTACAAGCATTCCTTATAGGTGACACTAAAATGGCCGTTGCAACTTCTTTTTCAGCTAATACAAGGCATGAAATATCTTGTGAATTTTGCTTATATCATTTATTTTTCATTTTTTCTTATATATAAGTATGTTTCTTTATACCTTAGCTTTTTTCTTTTTTTTTTTTTAAAAAAAAAAACAGTATCTAACTTATTTCCTAAACTTCCACAATCACAAAATGTATTGTCGCTTCCTCCATCCTTAATACCCCTCCTGTTTTCTTTCTCATTATCGATGATTTACTATGGTGATATGAGTTTGGAAATACTTCTTCAATCCCGTCAAACCTTTGAAATCCTAAAGATAACACTTGAAATAGAAAAAACACTCCGGTCGGTGGTGTCAAGGTTAGCATTCTGACATGTAAATTAGTATCAGTTTTTTGTAGTTCCCTTTTGGCTCTTTTTTTCAGATTTTTGTATTTGATCACACATACCTCTTGAACTCGCCTCCCCTTCCCTTATATAGCTCTTCTTGTTGTAGCCTCCCTCTTTCTTTTGGGCCCTCTTCCCTGTTATTACAGCCTAGCTTCAATACGGGCCTGTCATTTGTCACTACGTATTCAGCATCCATTAGGATTATCTATTCGGCATCAATTAAGGATTATCCTTCCTTGCTTGTTCGACATCAATTAGGATTATCCCAGCCTAGCAGGTTTTTGTAACACTGGGTCGTCGAGCCCTTATCCACGTCCATCATTATTATTCGGCACCCACATATACGATACCCCAAACAAAATCATGTCAATCTCAAGAAAAACTGAAATTATGTGAGACGAGTAAATTTTGAGTAATTTCAGTGATTTTGAAACAACACGCATTTTATGTATAATATATAATTTGTTCTTCGCAATACATAACAAATTTATCTATTATGTGAAAAAACTTATTATATAATTTTTTTTTGGTCAGTTTGATGAGATAATTGGGATTATGGATGCAAGGACCACACAACTAAAGAGACGCAGGGCATCTTCAGTAAGTTTTTTTGGCCCTGTTTGGTACTCTGGAATGTTAACGTTCCAGAGTTGATTTGAACAAAACGTTTGTTTACAAATTTCAAAAATTAATTTCATGCTTACCTTTGAAAACGCGGTCAAAGGCAGAAAAATTTGGGCTAACCGGTCGTCTGGCCGATTGACCGGAACAATACAATTTTTTTTTTTTTTTTTTGCAATTGACATATATTGATTGACCGGAACAGTACAATTTTTTTTTTTTTTTTTTGCAATTGACATATATTGATTTTTATATATTCAATAAAACATATTTTCCGAATTTTTAAAATTTTTTTACGAGTTTTAATAGAATTTTAAACTGTGTGTTTGGTTATGAATTATAAATTTTTGTATCAAATATCATATGTCACATAAAAAATTCTTCACTCAATTCAAAACTCTTTCACCAAACAAATTTTTCACGTTCAAATCATAATTTCAAAACTCACAAACTTAAAATACAACTCTATTATCAAATTATATTTAGAAAATTCTACCAACCGCAACCTTTGTTTTTGTTCTTTTTTTTAAATTTAATTACTAATTTATTTTTTTCAAAAATAATACAGTAATGCAAATTGTTAACTGTAATTCCGCCATTAGTATATAGTATCTGATTTTTCAGAGTCCTAGAAAAAGCAAATCCACCTGTGCCGGTGGAGGAAGTCATTCTACTACTCTTGCTGGAGGAAGCAATGACAGCAGAGCTGCCGCCGCCACTGCTGCCACCAGCACTAGTGGCAGCAGCAGAGGAAAAAGTATACCAAAAGCTGCCTCAAGGAGTCAACTGGACAACAATAATAACCTATTGGTGCAGACAATAACAAGGCATCTGGAAGATCTGAAAAATGACAACCCTTCAGATTCTGATTGTTGATAAATTGAAATTAATGTATCATTTCTTTATTGTGCACAGCTATTAACCCAACCCAACCCAAATTAGCTAGTTGTTGCAATACAGGTTCCAATATCATTTCTAATATTGGAAGATATTAAGATTGTTAAGGCTAGTATTGGCGGTTGTAAAGAGAGAGAGAGAGGAACTTCAAAAACATCCCAAGAAAATATTTGAATATCTTCACTTCGTCGCATATACAGATGAATCTTTTTTCATTCAACAAAAGGAAAAGGACAATGATTGGTGGCCACAAATTCTGTGGCTCAAATGGTTCAAAAATGCCAAAACGACGTCGTTTTGGCATTTTCGAGCCATTTGAGCCACACAATTCGTGGCCACCAAACATTTTCCAAAGGAAAAGGGCACTTAACAAAACAAAGAAGATAGTATGGACTCTAAGCAGTACAACTCAATTACCATTCCTTGCACACCGCTCTGAGCTGAAGAAAAATAGTACAGAAACATGACATGCTGTATCTAAAGCCACATAATTTGTGGCCACCAAACATTTTTCAAAGGAAAAGGGCACTTAACAAAACAAAGAAGATAGTATGGACTCTAAGCAGTACAACTCAATTACCATTCCTTGCACACCGCTCTGAGCTGAAGAAAAATAGTACAAAAACATGACATGCTGTATCTAAGGTCGGTGTTTATGCTCTTAACTGAAAAGAAGCTGCAAACTTGACCCAACAAAAATTCTGTTTTAAAAGTATATCATCGAAAGCAATTCGATTGATCCAAAACGGGCAATTCATCAGACTCATGCAAGTTATGACCGTCCATGCAATATTGAACTTCCCATGTCATCAGTTATACCTATTGTGCATTGCACTTCAACTTCTCGCCTTCAAGCTCTTGTTTCAAGGACTCAACCCGTTCAAGCAAGCCAATATTCTCCTGGTAGGTGCAAATGGTTAATGGAATCCAATATGAATCGGAATGGAAAATTATTACTAGATGAGTGTTTGCATGAAACTCTCTCTAATTTTCCATGACAAGGAGAGAAAAAAGACAGCTCAATACTAAAGAAAACAAAATTAAAATGAATATCAATGGAACCCTAAAATACAGGTTCTAGATAACCACCTTTTGTAGCATTTCCAATTTCTTGTTAATGCTAGCAGTACCCTCCGGCTTCTCTAGAGACTGCTTCATCTGTCAAGGTGAATCAATTCCCAAGGTAAGATACATCTCAACTTAAAGAACAGTTAAATAGGCAAATTCTTATCATGGGTCAGAAAACATCGTTTACATCACTTTGCATTCAACTCTTAAAAATGTGTTAACTAAACAATTGGTAGACAACAAAATAAAGACATGTGTCCAATGCATTTTTCCTCCATAAAGTGGTATGTGTCCCATGACCTCTAACCTGGTCTTGTCATAGACCACAAGGGAGGGATTAAAGCCAATCAAGCCTAGGGCAACAAGATTGCCAATGTCGGCCTCATTGTGCACCTGATATCATAACCAGTAAGTTGTAGTAGCCCATTCCATCAGAGTCTCAACCTCCGAGACTCCTAGTCATCAACTACCATACTAAATCTAGCATCCCAAGCCATCCAAACAATAGAAGTTTTCAATATAAACATCATAGTTCAAAAGAAAAGGCATAATAAAAAGAGGGAGCAGATGGCTAGATATGACTTACATGCTGCATGATCAATCCGAGAAAGTAGACTAAAATCCTTGAGGCACAACTATGGACACACAAGCAGCCTTGGAAAATACTGAAATTGTATGCCTTCACTTGGCATGAAATTGAAAAAATTTATTGATGAAAAGAAGTTATACTCCTCATTCACATAATTCATAGCTATGCACCAAAGTTTTGTTGAAAAAGACACCGAAACCAACCATTACTTGTCCCATGGTCCACTCAACAAGTAGATATCATGCAAGCACTTTACACTTACAAAAGTGCTAGATGCTGAGACATGACTTGTGATAAAGATATTACCATTCTATAGGAAGAAAGAAAGAAAGAAAAATAAAATAAAGGACAATATTTTTCCTCTGGACCTACTTTACATTCAATTAATTGGACAAGCAGCTGAACTGCCGCCTGGGGGAACTCATCAAGCAGTAGATCTCCAAATGAAAGACTTAGAAAAAAAAAAAAAAATTAAACTCACTTGCCAATGTCTCATGCAGCTTGTATGATCCTGGTAATAATCATGATAATGCATAATTGCATACTGACAAGCTGATCATAGAATGTGATTACCTCATTTAGTTCCTGAGCACAATTGCTAGCCTTCTTGACCTCCTCATCATATTTGAATCTCCACTCTGCAGATTCCTCCATAGCCTCTCTGTTAGCAAGATCAAACTGTCTTCTACAAGAAGCCAGCAAACAGAAACATCACTTACTACTGGAATGCATGAAACAGACCTTGAATGTATATTAAGAAACACAAAAGAAATATAATTTTTTATGTAATATGAGAAAATTAATTACAAAAAGATCAAAGAAAAGAATGTGATTTGTATTTGACTAAAATAAATTTTGCCGTTCCTCTTAAAATTCACATCATTTACAAGTGAAGAAATTCAAAGGGGAAAAAAAGAAAAAGAAAAAAATACTTCAACTACTTCCAAGCTCATACTTAAGAAGTGATCTTTTATTTCTATGATCCATATGACATGGATTCAAATCCACAAAAATAGAGACAGAAAAAAAAAATACAAAAAGTTTTTGAAGTATTTTACAGCTCATGTCCTTACAATCCATTTTGTGCTGCAGTGTAGTGGTGGTTAATTGAAGAAGGTACACAACATAAGTCAATTTTCACTGAGAAGTCACAAAGTCTAAAGTATCTGGCTAAATTTAACTAGAACACAACACAACACAAAATTGCTGAAATTGAAGGATTCCTAATTGAAATGTGAGGATTTCATAGTTTACATTCGGTCAAACCCTGTTTCCTTCATTATTTGTAGTAATAGGCAGACCAAAGCATTAAAACCCTTCAATAAGGGAACAAATCAAACAGAGGTTAAATTCAAAATTCAATATAAAATAAAAAGGAATAGGAACCAAGAGTTTGGTTGTTGGGAAAATTGGGAGAAAAGAAAAGAAACTAGGGTTCTCAGTTAAATATATATTCCACTTTCTGGTTCTCAAAAAAGACAAAAATCAACTCAATTAAGCATGTATTTGAATTAGAAAGTTATAATTTTCTAAGTACCAAGAAATTAAAGATTGAAACTTCAGTCTTTATCCACAATTTCCCTAGCAATTACACACCAACATATCTCCAAATAGAGAGAGAGAGAGAAATAATTGAACAAAGTGAGATATGATCTAGCAAGAAAAGGTGCAAGAAAGTGCAAGAAAAGAAATGGGAAAGTTGGAACCGACCTCAACAATTCAGCTTCGTCAGAAGAAATTCTATAATCGATAACCCAAAGCCTCAAGTACACAGCAATTCCCAATACCATAACCAGCCCTAACCCAATCAAGATTGTTCTCCTCCCTCCTCCCCTCATTCCCTCCCTCCCCCTCTCTCTCTCTCTCTCTCTCTCTATTACATTTACACAGAGATTATACAAAAAAATTTCCTTATAAAAATGTTTTAGAACGTAATTGATTCTTAAAAGATTAATTTCAGTAAATGGCTTTTTAAGAGATGTTTAAAAATTAAAAATACAATTTATTTAGACTTATTGCCAAATTTTTAAAAATAATAATAATATGAGAGCTATTGTTGAAATTTAATTTCAATACTTATTGGAATATAAATATATATATATATATATTTGTTTTTGGGTCGCTTTTTTGTTTACTTATTTTTGTTTTAAAAAAAAATTACTTGACAAGATGAATAAAAAAATAAAGAAAAAATTAAGATTTCTAAAAAAGTTTAGAAATGATAAAAGGAAGTAAAAAAATAGTAGATTTTTTAAAAATTTTGATTTTTAATTTTTTTTTTTTACTTTTCAGATTTTCCTGTACAAGATAGACCAGAAAAGTAAAAAAAATTAATATAATTTTTAAAAAAAATTCAAAAAATATATAGCATATTGCATTTACTTCTTTATTTTTACATCAATAGATTTTTATTTAAAATTAAATTAAAATTTTAAAAATTTATAATGATGGTAATTATATATATTTTTTATTTTGATAATATATTACTTCACTTCTTATGAAATAAAAATAGAAATTTCCAACCTATTCATTGAATGAAGATAATCAAAAATTCAAAATTCAAAATTCAAAATTCAAAACTATATTACTTCATTTCTTATATTTCAACACACATTCTAGCATACGAAACTGTTCTTCTTGTTTGGTACTAGTAATAAAAATTTCCCACCTAAGTAGTATGGGCCATTGTTGAGAATTTTGTTGAACCTTTCCTCATCGTGAAATTTTAAAATGAAGAAACTACTGTGAAATGGGCACCCTTTTTCACAAACCCAAGACTGTGGTGTTTCAACTTTTAACTCCATTTAAGATGTCCTGTAACTACTGGGTTTGTGAAATAGTAAGGCCCAACCAAAGGAGACGGGCTTTCCTAAAGTCTGCAGGAGGAGAGTGTGACCCAGCCTGAACCATATATTACTTGTTTAAAATAAGGAAAATATTTGGGACCACTCTTGGGGAGACCCCCACCACCCTCACAGTAATGTGGACTATTGATGTATTTGTATTTATTATTATTTTTTTTCTCTTTCTTACTTGGACCAATCACAAATGAATAAGGGTGATGTTTTGTGGGGGTCTGAATCATTACTGTTAACCCTCAATTATTTCACACCCGTGGTCAATTTAAAACCCCCAATAAAATAACTAAGAAGGTGTTTGGGGTAACTTATATTAGCACATTTTTATCTTTTTTGAGTTATATTATCTTTCTATTTGTTTGCATATTTTTTTTATAAAAAGTCAAAAAATATTATTATTTAGATCATCATAAACAACCCCTAAACTAATAGTAAAATTATAGATATTTTAAAGTTACATAAAGAAATGAAAAGCATGTTTGATGGAACATTGTTTAAGTTGAAAATTGATAATTAAAATATAAGAGTTAAAATAATATTTCTTCTCCAGATTTTAGATATTTAGCCTCCGTTTGGGAAGTGGGTTGACTTTTTGACTTTTTGACTTTTTTGGCTATTTTAACCTGGGCTTAAAAGCTTGGTTTGGGAAGAGCTTTTTGGCTTTTTGACTTTTTTGAGTTTTTTTGTGAGAGAAGAATGTAATGATTATGGGTTGGATGTGATGTTTTGTTTGTTATGGTTAAAATAGCCTATTTTATTTTTTGTGACTAAAATAACCAAAAAAGCTCAAACCATAGCTTCCCAAACGAAGCCTAGTTTGGTAAAGATAATTTAAATTATTTTCACTTCATAAGTTATGATTAGAAGCAATAGCAAATATTCTGACACAAACATTTTTTTACAAAAACAAAAACAATATATATATATATATATATATGTATAAGTAATTTCAAGGAATTATTGGTGATAAATCTATTTTATGGGTATTTATGAGATTAAATCTAGTGATTGTTCTGTTTTAATTTTAAGGATATGAACAATAAAATATATTGATGAAAAGTAAAAATCATTGTTTTAAAGAACATTTTTCTTTAATAATTTTTTTTACTATTGTGACGATCACACTTGTTAATCAGCAAATGCTGTTGGCCGACCACCGCCGCACAATTGCGAGAGAATCTAGAAACTTGCCGTCAATGGGAAATTCGTTGGAGAGTCGCAAAAAAAATTGTACACAAGGCAACAAAAAATGGCTAAAATCAATCTTTGATGACGAATGTGAGATTAGATGGTAACATGGGACCATGTGGTCTTTTCAGTTTAATTTATATATCATAGTATAGTTACGCAATCAAATCCGTGGACAACAACAACAATCGCAATGAACCCATCGAAGAAATCTAGCAGCGCCCCTCGTTTGTTTCTTGATTTATTAAATTTATTCACTAATTTCATAGAACCATCTTTAGACATATTCGTGTAAGATTCTTTGTCAATCAGATTGTGTAACTTTGTGTTGGTCCATGCGTTTGATAAGAGATATGAAAAAGAAAATAAAAAAATTAAATGAAATGAAATATATTTACATTTTATACATTTTTTATACACTTTTTCTCTTTATGTTTTTAAATCCAAGAACCAAACACAATTTAAATTGAAATGGATAAAATCCACTTCACTCATTTCATACTTATTTTGTTTGTATTAATTTAGAAATAATATATTAGCATAACATAAGTTTATGTAGGTGTTTTACATTTTACTCAAAAAAAAAAAAAAAAAATGTGATTCAAATTCAATTATTATATAATGAATTTTATGTTTGAAATAAATTTAAACCACATTATACATTATTTGTAGATTTGTAGATAAAAATGCACACTTTTGGTTTTTGAAATCTAAACTTGCTTCCATCATGAATTGGTGAACATTTATAAGAAAGAAGTTCTCATCCAATCAATATATTAGTGCCGTGATTAGTTGAGAAATTTGAGGAGAAATTTAGAAATAGAAAGAGAAAATGTGTGTGAAATTAAGTAAAATGTAAGTATATTTTATTCTCATTTTATCTTTTTTTTTTTTCCTTTCGAAATCTCTTCCTAAACTCCCCAATCAAACACAACGTAGTCTTTACTCTTTCTATTTTTAAATCTCCTCTTAAATTTTTTAACTAAATACAATTTAATTGAACCGGAGAGTATAAACACCCCCATTTTAAGAGTCGGTGAACATTTATTAAAAAAAGAAGAAGTTCCCATCCAATCAATTCACTAATTGACTAGAGAGTGTGGACATCCCATGAGGAATAAATAGGCCAAGTTGCGCTTAAACAGAGTTGGTGAACATTTATAAAAAGAAAAAAAATACCATCCAATCAATCTTTTGTTTTTCACTACTCTGTTAGTAAATTTTGTACTATATTATACTCTATTTCTAAATGAGACGTAAGAAGTTAGGTCGGTATATAAAACTAACTTTGTAGTTCTAATAAATAATATTTACTGAATCCAATGAGAAGGATCTCTTAAAAGTTAAGAAAATTATATTCAGCTTGTTTAGTTCTGATTTTTCAAAAAATAATTTTTAAAAATTTATATTTTTTTTAATTTTTTGTATTTTAATATTTTTAATAAATTTGTTAAATAATTTTTTTTATTTTTTTTTAAATTTTAAACACAAATAACATAAGCACATTTAAAAAATATAATATTTATTATAAAAATTTTTAAAAATACACTAATATCATAAAATATAAAAATTTAATACATTTTTTTTTAATATTTTTATGTATTTATTATTTTTTAAAAAATATTTTTTCATAAATATTTTACTATATAGATATATCTAAATAAGGTATATCTAAAAAAAATAAAAAAATAACTTAAAATTTAAAAAATATTGTATAAAAACAAAAAAAATTACATAAAATAAAAAACTTAATTTTCAAAAAACTAAATTCAGAAAATTAAAATAAAACACATTGATTATTTTTTTATCATAATAAAAATAAAAAAAAATTATGAACATAACTCTTAAATTGCATAAATTCTTATATTCTGATGTGTCATTTATTTGATTTTTCTTATTTATTATTTTGTATCCTTATTTATTTTTTTGTATCACATCTTCTGTAACAACACTTGATTACTAACTAGTAGCCACTTCTTTATCGGACATAATATATCTTCGTGACAAAAATACTTGAAAATTTTAATTAGAGCCACTACTAATGATGTAGTAGTAGATCCCACTCATTGTCACAATATATATTATGCTTTATTTTTGTTTTTATTTTATTTTTTTCAACTTCTACCTCACTAGTGGTGGATTTAGAGTTCTAAATCATTATTAATCTTCGTAATGGAGCTTCTCTTTTCATATTCTCCTATTATCAGTTGTTTAAAAAAGTAAATAAAAAAAAAATGATGAACCATCATCTAATATTTTTTTTGTCGTTTTGTTGATTTATTTGCAGGCATTCACAGGTTGGAGTAGAGTACTTAAGTTTCTGACTACGAAATGAAGTATATAAAGGCCCAGAGAGTAGAGACAATGGTAGGTAGGACAACAAGAAACAGAAAAATGGGCATAATTTGTTTCATTTCAAAGCCACTTATCCATATATCCGAACCCCGCCCCCCTACCATAAAGTCAATATACGGTTGGGTAAGCTTACTACTCTCTCCCTCTCTTCTTCCCTTTATTGACAATAATGAAACAAAAAACCCACTAGAACGAATTTTGTTTTTATCCAAAGAAAGTAGACAAACAAAAAAACAACAGCAGAAAAACAAAATCAGGGGGCTAAGCTAAGCTAAGCTAATTCTCTATCATCATCCAAAGTGTAGATGAATTTTACTTGAAGAATTGTTCTAGCTAGCCTGTAGCTTTCTTACCTACCTCCTGAACCAAACCCATTAGCCCACACTCCACAAACAACTCAACCTCCTCTTTCATTTCCTCTCTTCACTCTACCTCCATATCCTCCACTTCCCTGCCTTCAAGTTACCACCAAAAACAAAATCAAAAACATTGAAAACAATTGATAGTGTTACTATTTAGTGCAACTTCTAGCGAGTTAAGAATTTATAATGAAATAATAAAAGTTAACTGAACCTGTCTCATAAGAAGTTACGCCACATGCTTTGGCATAAATTTCTAAAAACAAGAAGAAAAAGAAATTCTATTCTAAAGTAGCTTTATGAAAATGCCCCAAAATGTTATAAGATTTCCATTTCACTACAATCTGAAAAGTTAGATCACATATACATGATCAGTGATCCTCTGAATAGAAGTCACACCCAAAAACCCAGAGGATTTAACAAAACAAAAGGATGACTAGCTAGTGTCAAGATTTTCTGTCTCTAACATTCTTCTTTCACTATACTCAATACCCTTTAAACTGCACGATATAATGATAAAATCAAAATATAAAGATAAAAGAAGACGGAGATTTTGAGACCGAGAATCTCGTACCAGTAAGAGAGACATTAGCTTTTCAAGTGATGATGATAAATACAAAAATAAATTCTATGACCAACCCAAAATTTCACATGATAGCATATCATGATCTCTCTCTCTCTCTCTCTCTCACTCACTCACTCACTCACTCACTCACTCACTGTTATTCTATGTTAATCTTCAAAACCAATTTGCTTCCAAATAGCATTTCTCACCCTACTCAAGTCTCTTCCTTTCAAAGTCCTCCCAATACCTTCATGCACTGAAAAAGACGCCATTCTAGTCCTTGCCAAGTACTCATGAGGAGGCATCCTATCATCCTCATCATCACCACTATCATTGCCGCCATCGTCCCCGCCGCTGCTCTCTCTCCGCCGGCTTTCCCCGAGGATTTTCGACCAATCCGGTATTTTTACAGGCAATGAGGAAGAGGGTTTGGGCCGCCGATCAATAATGGCGGCGGCGGCGGCGGTGACAGCGGCGATCTTTCTCGATGTGGATTTTTTCACGGGACGTGAAGTGGGCATTGGTTTTTTCGATTCAACAACATCGCTGGAGGTCCAGACCTCGGATTCGTCGAAGTCGAATTGGGTGTCGGAAGGGGTTGTTGATGATGGGTTTTCTCTCTCATCTCCTAGGTAGAGGAAGCTTGGTCTTCTTCTTGTTGCCATTGGAGGAGGAGTGGTTGGTGTTATGGTATTTTACACAGAGAGAGAGAGAGAGAGAGAGATAAGTATGATGGTATGGGATGGGATGGGATGGGATGGTGTTTGTTTGTGATTTGTTGATTTGGTGGGGATTTTTATAATGCAAAATGGAAGGGTGTAATGGATAAGCTCTGTCTAGATTTTTGTACCACCAGGAAAGTTGCCAAAAAATGGATAAACCAGTGCTCAAAAAAATATAAATAAATAAATAATGGATAAAGTAAAAGAAAAACAAAACAATGCAAAGACTGTTTGGGAAGGAAATTGGTTATTTAATTTTTTTTTGATTATTTTAATCTCATTAAAATAGTTGTGTTTAAAAAAATAACTTTTTTATAATTGCTTTGATGATTGTGAAAAAAAATAAAATAATTATAAATTAAATATAATATTTTATTTTATTAATTATTTTTAATATATTTTATTTTTTAATAGTCTATTTTAATTCAATCCTCTTTCCAAACATCCCAAAAGAAAGATAGAAGGTGGAGAGAAGGATAGAATGTGGGGTTCTCTCCTGCGTTTAGCATGTGTCATCATTTAACTTTTTAATTATCACATGATTTTCTAAACGACAATGCTACGTAGTTCAAATTTTGTGGCTCAAAAGTGGCTCAAATGGCCAAAACGACGTCGTTTTGAGTACAGAACAACATAAAAATGGCATGTTTTGGCCTTTTGAGCCACTTTTGAGCCATAAAATTTGAACTACGAGACATTTTCCTTTATATATTTTTTAAAAAAGTTTAAAAAATTAAAAAATTAACTTTTAACAAAATTTTCAAAATAACCCACATGTTAGCTATGAATTAAAAAAGAAAAAGAAAAAAAGAAAGAGAATGTTAATTTCACTTTCTTGACTTAAATTATTATCATTATTTTTAATTTTATTTTTAAATTATCACCTTCATTTATTTGGTCCACAACATTTATTATTTCAGTTGTATGGTTCGAATCAATCCAAATCAACAATGGAAAAAACCTTATTTAATGGACAAAATGACAATTTTATAATTTGAATAACTTAAATTACAAAATAAAATACTCATCAAATTTAGTAAATTAAGAAAAAAATGGGTTTAAGATTTTTAATTTAAAATAATATTTTTACCCATCAAATTATGCCTTAGTGATTATTGATTTGGAGAACCATCTTTTTTATGGACCATATTAATTGAAATTTAAAGTTTAGGGACTAAATAAATAAAATAAAAAATTTAAGAATGAAATAGAAAAATTAACAATAATTTAATGGATACAAGTGAAATTAATTAAAAAATATTCAAAAGTGATAATTTAGTTTTAGCTTAGGCTTCGTTTGGGAAGAAGGGTTGGGTTGGGTTTGGGGCTATTTTAGTCACAAAAAAGACAAAATATGTTTTTTAACCCAATAAGACAAAATATCACATCCAGCCTATAATTATTACATTCTTTCTCTTACAAAAAGTCAAAAAAACTAAAAAATCCTTTCTAAACAAGACTTTTTAGCCCCAGGCTAAAAAGTCAAAAAATTAAAAAGCCAACTTATTTCCCAAACAAACACTAGTGTTATTCCATTCAAAATAGATTTGATTTACACATTTTGAATTGTAAATTTTTTTTTAGGTATGCAGTATTGTTATTTTAATTCTAAATTGTAAATCTATATAACTCTAAAAAGTAATCATATATATAAACAGAAAATTTGTTCATAAAATCAATATAAAATAATGTGACAAGTTTTCATTTTATTATTTTAAAGCAACCATAATGTTAGTGTTAAAATATTCTTACCAAAAATTATACACAAATATCATTTTCCATCAATATATATATTTCAATAAAAAAATTTTTAAAAAAGATTGAATTTTTGATGGATTAGAAGTGTCTCAAGTTTGCCTACAACCATACACTACAAGAATTTTCACTTTTGGCGGCTAAATTTTTAGTCGCCAAAAGTCAGTATTTGCCAAAGGCTTTTAGCGACAACAATTTTTGGTCGCAAAAAAAGTCGTGGAAGAATTGTCGGGAAAGATCATTGGCGACTGAAATTATTTTAGTCGCCAAATGTACTACATTGTCGACTAAGTTTTTAGTCGCCAAAAGGTTTGAAATAAAATTAAATATCATATTTCGGCGACTAATTTTTTTGTCGCTAAAAGTTCAGTTATTTTTAATGACTAAGCATTTGGCCGCGGAAAAGAGTTTTAGCTACTAAATATATTAGTGGCCATAAGTAAATAATAATGTTTTGGCTACTAAGATTTTACTCGCCTAAAGTCAAATTTTTTTGCCTACTAAAGGTTTAAGGCCTTATGTTTTTAGCTACTAAGATTTTAGTCGGCAAACATTTTGTGTTTTGGCTACTAAACATTTGGTCGCCTAAAGTCTCACAATTTTTTGCTACTACAGTTTTAGTCGCCAAAAGTTTTTTTATTTCTTCAGCTTATTTTTTTAGCTACGACATATTTTAGTCGCCATATGTTTGATTGTTTTTTGCTACAAAATATTTTAGTCACTAAATGTTTGATTTTTTTTTTTTGGCTACTAAACTTTTAGTAGCGAAAACTATTTTCCGAAATTTTTTTTTAGTTACTAACAATTTAGTCGCCAAAAACATGATCTTATGTTTCATCGCAAAATTATAATTTATTCACAACCTGTCTATATTTCATGCAACCTATAATACATATATAAACAAAACAATACATATACTACCCATCATTTCACATCTGCATCTGTATACAAAAATGAATAACATTAAATGTCAAAGTCCATACAAACCAACTAGGGTAAACTATCAATAGGTCCTAATAGTTGGACTTAATTCTCATCAAATCCTATTGAAAATAAGTTTTGGTAAAATTGTCGCTCAAAATAATTTTTTTGTGACAATTTTTTATATATGTCGCTAAAAATTGACAATTAGTGACTTTTTTTTGTTATGATTTTTATAAATTGTCACTAAAATTTACAATTAGTGACTTTTTTTATAATAAATTTTTTCGATAGAACCTATTAGACAATAAATCCACTTATTAGGACCTACACGTAAGTACCCCAACCAACTATTGTCTAAACTAAAATAATAATTCCATAAAAAATATAGGCGCTATTTGGGAAGTTGGGTTTTGGGTTTTAGGTTGTGTTTTTTTTTTTTTTTTTTCACTAAAAGACAAATTGGTTATAAAATAAAAAAAAAACAAATCCAAACAAAATATCACATCAAACCCCATAATCATTTTACTTTTTCTCTCACAAACATCACATTCAACCACAAAAAAATCCAACTATCTTCCTAAACACAAAAACAAAATTCTCCAATAATATCCTACAACTAAAAAAACCTACAAAAAAATCCACTTCCCAAACACTCACATAGAATCATACAAAAATTCAAGCCCTCCATATACAAAAAATACATGTATTAGCATGCGAAATGGCCATTTGGCATGGTACAAATTACCATTGTAATATGTACCACGACAAAAGATAATCTATGTACCATGACAAAAAGGTGATATATGTACCACGACAAAAGGTAATGTATGTTCCACGGCCGGTATTATCAGTTGGTTTCCAAAAGTTTTTTGTATCAATAATAGTGAACTACACAAAAGTCGAGGATGACAAAAGTATTAGTTGTATACAAAAGTGTAATTTTTTCTCTATACACCAAAATGGATTATCCACAAGTCCACGCAAAAAGCCATCTACAAAATAAAGATAACAATTGGTTACAAAATATCAATTGATCTAGACATAGGGAAAATGTTGTAACATGCATTTAAGGTAGAAAAATCTATCTATGCCTTCTTGGAAATAAAAGCATATATATGTATTATGCAATATTTATTCCAACCAACTGCATAAAAAATCTTTTTGATAATTTCATCAGCCTATAAATATACAAAGGTAATTATTAGAATCTGTGGATGTTATTTTCATAAAGTTGTCAGTTTTTAAACTACAGTTGGTGAGGTTTACCTTTTATCTACATGTCGTAGTTGTGGTTGTAAATTGTAGTGGTTGTAAACTTATTCTACATCATGGAGAAGCAGCTTTCTATTGTCGTACCATTTTGAGTTCATATTGTTATTTTCATAGATGACCAATGTCTCGAAACTTCATATTGTTATTTTTATCTGACAGAAAGCGAAAGAAATAATCTTGCTCTGATATTAAGATTATCTATGTTACAAAAGTCGGTGCCTTAGACGTATACAATATGTAATTTGTTATGTTTGACTTTGAGAGGCCAATCATCATATCGTGAGGTGAACTCCTATAATGAAACCACAGAAAAGTTAAACACGTAGCAACATAGCTTTGATCAGTTTGTCATGTGGCACTTCTTGTACCTTTACAAGATGTAGGGGTGAGCACCCAACCTACGTGCACTATTTACATTTCATCTGTTGTCACAGGTCCTATTTGTGATGGGGAAGCTATTCATGAAGCCACACGGTGGTTCGGGGGTTGTTTCGTAATTTTGCCCCCTTAACGTCCTTTTTTCGGTTAAGTTTGAGGTGTTTTTGGCTCTAACTCCCAACCTACAAGTGCAAATTACATTCCGTCTATTGTCACAGGTCTTATTTGTGATGGAGAAGCTGTTCGTGACAGCCACACAGTGGCTCAGGGGCTGTTTCATAGTTTCGCCCCCTTAACGCTTTTTTTCGGTTAAGTTTGAGGCGTTTTGGGCTCTAACTCCCAACTTACAAGTGCAAATTACATTATGTCTATTTTCACAGATCCTATTTGCGATAGGAAAGCTATTTGTGACAGCCACATGATGGTTCGGGGGTTGTTTTATAGTTTTGCCCTCCCTTAACGCCCTTTTTCGGTTAAGTTTGAGACGTTTTGGGTTCTAACTCCCAACTTACAAGTGCAAATTACATTCCGTCTGTTGTCACAGGTCCTATTTGTGATGGGGAAGCTATTCGTGATAGCCACATGGTGGTTCGGGGGCTATTTTATAGTTTTGCCCCCCTTAACGCGCTTTTTCGATTAAGTTTGAGGCGTTTTGGGCTCTAACTCCCAACCTACAAGTGCAAATTATGTTCCGTCTGTTGTCACATGTCCTATTTGTGAT